GGTTGGTCTGTATACACGACAACTGTATGTGCCAAAAAGTAGGGCTTCAATTTTTTAACAGCCATGAAGAGTGCAAGACCAAATTTCTCCACTAAGGGATACCTCAACTCGGCATTTTTCAGTACGTGACTGACAAAGTAGACCGGGAGCTGACAGCCGTCCCTTTCAGCAAGGAGAACAGCGCTTAACGCATGATCAGAGACGGCCAGGTACATGTAGAGAACCTCTTTGGGCAAAGGGCTGACCAGCCTCGGCAAGGAATGCAAGTGAACTTTTAATTTCTGGAAGGCGGCCTCAGCATCCGGCCCCCATTCAAACCTTGCCTTTTTCTTAATTGCCTGGAAAAAGTATAGGCATTTGTCGCCTGATCGGCTTAGAAATCTTCCCAAGGCCGCCAGACAACCTGTTAACTTCTGAACCTCTCGGATGGTACGAGGCGACTGCATGTCAATGACCGCCTGCACCTTCTCAGGGTTCGCCTCTATTCCTCTCTGATTGATAAGGAATCCGAGAAATTTCCCAGACTCAACTCCAAAGACACATTTCTTGGGATTGAGCATGACATGGTGCCGCCTGAGTGTGGCGAAAGTTTCTCGGAGGTCCGACAGATGATCTTTCTGAAGTTTAGTCTTGACAATCATATCATCAATATATTCCTCGACGTTTCTCCCAATCTGATCAAAGAACACTGTGTTTATCATTCGTTGGAAGGTAGCTGGGGCATTCTTAAGACCAAACGGCATGACCGTGTAACAGTATAACTCCTGATCAGTGACGAAGGCCGTCTTCTCCTGATTTTTCTTCCATAAGGGAATTTGATGGAAACCAGAATAGGCGTCCATGAAACTCATCAAGGCATGGACGGCTGTTGAGTCGACCAGGTTATCAATTTTAGGCAGAGGGTAACTGTCTTTGGGGCACGCCTTGTTTAAGTCTGTGTAGTCTACACACATTCGCCAGGTGCCATTCGGCTTTTTAAAAATCACCACATTTGCAACCCAGTCTGGGAAGTAACATTGCCGAATGAACCCTGCATCAAGTAATTTTTTAACTTCGGCGGCTGCCGCCTGACTTCTTTCTTCGCCATGGTTCCGCTTCTTTTGCCGTACCGACTTCTTTTTCGGATCCACAGCGAGTTTATGTACCGCCAGATCAGGACTAATGCCTGGCATTTCATGGACTTCAAATGCAAAGATTTCCTTGTATTCTTTCAATAGGTTGTGAAAGTCGTCACCAAGGTTTCTCAGAGCAGTCGTCCCAACTTTGACTGTTCGGTCAGGACGTGAGTCGTCTAAGATCAGGTCCTCATGCTCACCAGCCGGCTGAGGGCGGAACTCATCCGGCCGCTCCTCTGCCAATGATTGCTATTTTCTTGCTTTTCTTAAGGACTCTGTCTGGGACGCCTTTCTCTTTTTGCCGCATGCTTCTTGAACAGGCGCACTCTCCTTGACATTGTCAAGGTCTGTTTTTTCTCCACTTGACCCAGTGGCCATAACAGTGGGCTTGACATCCGAGAGATAGCACTCTCGGGCCATCCTCTGATTTCCCCTTAGGGAGCCGGCTGTTCCATTATCCCTCTCAAACTTGAGCAACATAAGAGACGGGATTATAACAGCCTTGGAATTATTCAGGGTTGGTCGACCCAGAATCATGTTGTAGGCCGAGAGTTCCTCTACTACTAGGAACCGGACTACCATGTGTCGTCCTTCCCCTTTTTCGCCCAGGAGAATGGGTAAATCTACTCGTCCCAGTGGGTGGACGACTCCTCCACCAAACCCTACTAATGGGTGGGAGGCCGGATGTATGCAGTCAGTCTGATATTTCAGTTTCGACAGACATTTGCTGCTGATGAGATCTGAGGAGCTCCCGGTATCTATGAGGATTCGGCCAACTCTCTGGTTGGCCACTTTACATTCAATAACGAGAGGGTCGTCATGCGGCCCCCTTACCCCTCCTAGATCCTCTTCAGTGATGACAATCTCAGGAAATGTATATTTGGACGGCCGTTCTTGGTGAACGGAATTTACATCTAACCGCCTTATATTATCTTTGTTGCCCCTAATAGTGGGGCCGCCTCCTGAGAAGCCGCCTGCAATGGTGTAGACGACTGCATCATCTGTATCAGAGCTGTCGGCCTGCTGATTCTTTTTGGCCGACTGCTTTTTTGAGGAAGTGTTCCCCGTAGATTTCTTGACATAAGTGTCAAGATCACCTTGCTCAGCCAGGCGGTCTAGGTACCGCATGAGACTGATGCAGTCATTGGTGTGATGACCAACGTCATCATGATAAGCACAGATTTTATCTTGGTTCCGATTGTTTGCAGAACCCTTCATGGGGACCGGCTTCTCAATTGAGATCCGTCCCTTGATTTCTTTTAGGATAAGCTGGTTATCCTTGTTAAACGCATACTTTGGGGAGTATGGTTTGAATTCTTTTTTCTTTTTCTGGGCCGGCTGTTTAGAGGAATCAGCCGCCCAGACCTCTTTTCTTTTCTCATCTTTGTTTGACGACTGTTTCTGTCGTCCTTCTCTTTTGTCGAACCTTTTCCCGTCCGACTGTTTTATCGTACACAGATCAGTCGCCTGTATATAGGCTTCTGCTTCAATCAAGGCCTCTTGAAGAGTCGCCACCCTTTTTCGAACCAAATCAAATTTGAAGGTAGACCCGTCTTTGAGACCTCTAAAAAAGTCGGTATAAGCTACCTCATCCGGTAACCCTTGAATCTGTATTCTCATCAGGTTAAACCGCCTGATGTAAGAACGAAGCCCCTCCTTCTCGCCCTGCTGAATTGTTCCCAAATCAAGGGTCGTTTTCTTCGCAGGGATGTTCATGGCGAAGTTGGAGGCAAATAAGTAAGCAAGCGTCCTGAAGCTATTTACACAACCAGTCGGCAGGTTGCCGAACCATTGCTGTGCGATTCCTTTGAGAGTCGCTGGGAAACACTTGCACCAAGTGGGATCATCCAACCCTTGAAGGTACATCAGGTTGGTGAATGCCATCAGATGGTCTTCTGGGTTAGTAGTGCCGTCATAGGCGCCTACTAGTACATTTTTCACTTTGGCCGGCTGAGCGGCTTCAGTAATTTCCTTGGAGAAGGCCGACGGCTGTTCACCAAGTCTAAGCAACCGTAGCTGCCAGTCCATAGGTTGGACGTTTTTTGCTGTAGGTCCACCAAATGGAGGTGGCTGCATAAAATACTGTTGTTGCGGCACAAATGGTAAGTTTGGTACCGCCTGGGCACTATGAAAGCCGGACTGACGGGAGGTGCCGCCTGACTGACTCTCATGGTACGACTGAGTATGCCTCATCGAGGCATTTCGCAAACTGTCTTGAAAATTTGAAGTAGAAGCCGACTCTGACAATCGGTCACTCTTCTTCTGCTCTAGCAGTAGCCGAGCATCTGTGAATGTTTGCTTTGACCCGTCCGCCTGAATATGACGAACCGGTTTCCTATTTCCTGTAGGATAACGGAATTTTGTGAAATCAAGGGCAGGTGGCTCCCGCTTCCGAGATTTAGGATGAGGAGTCGCCTCTCGCCCTTGAACTGGCTTCCTCTTCAGTGAAGTGGAGGGTTTCTTGGCCGACTTCTCCTTGACTGAAGCAGGCGGCTTCTTGTTGATCAACTCTTGAATCTCTCCCTTGAAGTCCCTCATGAAGGTCATGAGTTCGTTCCTTGTGATGGGAGCAGACCCATCAGTCGGCTGTTGCCGAACAGGCGGTGCGCCTGCTGGCTCGCTTCCTGTTTGAAGATGCTCCCGTTCCATCCTTTCGGTATGACGGGTACGTCGGGCCCTTAGGGTCCCGTCTGGAGCTGTATGAGTTTCAACTTCAAATTCACTTTCGGTGTCATGGTCCGACTGAACTTGAGGGTCGTCTACGGGACGCCTCTCTTCAGGAGTCGGTACAGACTTGGATGCCATCTCTGAAGTACTCTCCCCACAGACGACGCCAAATGTTTCGGGGTTTTCTGATGTCCTGCGGGAGAGTTACAATTCCGAGACTGGAACCGGACGCCTGTACCTGCAAAATAACGGAGACTCCTGGGAGCTCCGCCTCCAACGGTCAAGTTAGTACTTGATTAAGGAGTAATAAGTGCGGAAATTAAAGGGGGGAGATCTGGTTCCTCTAGGGGAGGAGTGATCAATGTGTTTAGACTTCTCTAGGTGAGAGTCATTAATTGCTCAATCCCCTTTAATGAGGATTAATTAAGTATTTATAGTCTTGAGAAGCGTGCCACTCTCTAGGTTTAGGGTAAACCTAGGGCTGACCGGGCCTCTAAACAGGATTGGGCCTTGTTGGCCGGTTTTCCCATTTGGCATGGGTGGACACGTGGCGTGTCTCAATTGGTCCGTAGAGGACGTATCTGTGATTGACACGTGGCAGGCTCCTATTGGCCTACGTGAAGGACACGTGGCGGAACCTGGTTGGTCCACTTGTCAGACGGTGATTGGTGGATAAAAATCCCCTAATCATTTATAACCAGCTTTCTATAAACATGTGTCCGTAAAATGATCCAACTAGCTATTACAAAAGTTATAGAAAATTAAGACAATGCATGTAAATATTATGGAGTACTTTTGTCGGTCAAATTAGGTGATTATTTTCAATAATGAAAAAAGAATGACCAAAATTCTCACCAAAATTCCCTATTCTAAAAATATTCGGCGCCGATAACTTATAATTGCATGCAAATAGTAACGTAAATACGTATTGTATAAATAAATTGGTCAACTTCTATGATTTTTTTTTTTTTATTTTGAAAAAAATTTGAATGAATTATATTCTTTAAATGTGAAAAGCAAAAAATTAGCCGTGTAAAGGTACATGGCGTCCCCCAATCATTGTGTTACTTGAACTTGAATTGTCATGTTACTCTCTCACTATATATATACAAAAATCATATTCCCAAATCTTATATTATGAACTTCATTTTATTGTTTCCTAATTATATCTTTCACAATAATTACGATCAAATAAACCACCAAATAATTCAAACAAAAATGGCAACTCAAAGTTATAATTTTCCTAAGATCATCTTCTTTGTTGTTACATTTTCATGCTTCTTCATCTACAATTCTAATGCTCGTCACTTGTCGGAGGAGAAGTTAACGTGGAAACGACTAATAACCGTGGATCAGTCCGGCGAAGGCGATTACGAAACAATTCAAGGCGCGATTGATGCAGTTCCTTCTAACAACATAGATACCACACTTATCCTAGTCAAACCGGGAACGTACAAGGAAAAAGTTACCGTACCCGAAAACAAGCCTTTTATAATGCTTAGCGGAAGAGAGGCCGAAAATACAATAATCACATGGGACGATAGTGGTAATATATACACGTCTCCTACTCTCTCCGTCTTTGCTTCTGATTTTATGGCTCGATATCTCACTATTCAGGTTTTTTTTTCATTTGAAATTAATAGTCACATATACTATTTATGATTTGAAATTAATATTTGACTTTGATAATTTCTTATAGAATACATATGGACCGGGGGAAAAAGCAGTTGCCTTAAGGGTTTCGAGCAAAAGGGCAGAGTTTTCGGCATGTAAATTTATTTCTTACCAAGATACGCTTTTGGATGAAGAAGGAAGCCATTTTTATAGTAACTGCTATATTGAAGGAGGAACCGATTTTATTTGTGGGAATGCAGCCTCTCTTTTTCAAGTATGTAACATTATATTCTCTATTCAAGAATACAACTTTAATTTCTTGTTGATTTATCTTTGTTGTTATACGAAGATTAATTAAAAATTTTGTTGGATTGTTGTAGAAATGTCGAATACATTCTGTATCGGACATAGGTGGAGCAATAACTGCACAACGAAGGATGACACCGGAAGAAGAAACGGGGTTTTATTTTGTGGAATGTAGAATTACGGGTATAAAAGGGTGCACATTGGGAAGACCATGGGGACCTTACTCTAGAGTTGTTTACGTAAACAGTTACATGTCTAATGTGGTAAACCCTAATGGATGGGATGATTGGGGCAAACCCTTAACACATAGGTGCGTATTATTGATAATCAATTACTCCGTATGTTACAAAATATATGACACTCGTATATATAAGTTTATTATGTTATTAATGTTAATATGATTGTTTGTTTATTGGAACAGTTCGGTGTACTATGGTGAATACAAATGTTACGGTCCAGGAGCCAATAGATCAAACAGAGTCGAGTGGTCGCAAGACCTGAGTAATGAAGAAGCCACTGCCCTTATTACCAAGACTATGATTAGTGCCAAATCACGAATCAAACACTGATGTGTTGATAATTTTTATTATTTCATTGTACATGTATTATTAGGGTTTTTTTTTTTTTTTTTTTTTTTTTTTTTGCGGATTGTACATATATCTATGTTGATCAAATATACTGTATATAATTTCATCTAATTGATTACTTACTTTTTATGTTCTCCTCAAATATGTCATTTTTTTTCGAAACATATTGATGAATTGCTATTTTTAACAACTACATAAGTGAATAGGTAATGACATATAGTAGAGGTAGTACGCAATTAATTTGTACTTCGTATTATGTTTTTTGGATGGTAATGAAATAAGCCTAAATAAAACCCAAACGCGGACAACACCTAATTGAAATCCAATCTCTTGGATGAGAGAAGGAAAGGAGTGGAACACTAAATTTGGTTAATTAGGAGCAAAATCGTCATTAGCTATTACAGATACTCGTATTAATTTTTACCTTTTACTTTTTTTTGGCGGCAAATAGCAACAATTTAAAATCAATCCTTCAATCAACTCGGCATCAATTGATTTTAGACAAATACATCCCCATTAATTCCTCAAAATAAATACAGAAATTAAATTATTAAAATTAAACAAAATATCACAATGTATAATATAAAGTAGTAAAGTACAAGTACAAATTCATGACCGAAAATATAATAAACAAGGTTATCTTTCATCCACCACATTAGTCTATAATAGTATATATAATTCTAATTCTATGTAATGTGACCGAAATCTATATTATTTTATGGTTCGTTACATTAGTGAAATTATGATTTCCTAATTTCCTCGTATATTCTTATATAACCTCATGTCGTATAGAGTTTACTTTCACAGCTTGGCCCAACTCACATTAGTGAAATTATGTTTTCCTCATACATTGTTTATTTTCTTTCCCTAGTTAACTACTTCGTAATACGTAATACGAGTATAGAAAACTCCATCTATACATTATACATAGATCGATAGTACATTTCCTTTCTCTAGTTAACTAATACAAAGTGTGGAAAAAAAAAAAAAAAAGAAAAAACTAAACTTGCTTAGTAGAGTTGGTTGAGAGCTCACCGATTTAGCCCCACCAACTACGGTCTATTCTGTTCACCTTATTTTCACTTATTTCAGGTTTAATAAGTTCAGATAAGGGTTAATAAGTTCAGATAAGTTCAGGGTTAATAAGTTCTAAATTAATGTTCTCCTCACCTTATTTCCACTTATTATATTTATATAGAGTTATTACTAATCAAGATTGCTTTTCACTTTTTTTTTTGTAAAATTTTATGTGTTTTATTATCATGATTTCATATAAGAATAAAGTAACATTTGCATAAAAAAATAAAATTAAAGTATCGTTATACTCATAAGTTATGGTAAGACTAGATAAATTTTGCTTATAGAAAAGTTAAGCAAATCAACAAGTTTATTATTTTTGTGAAAAAAACAAAGGGAAATTAATGAGAATGAAAGTCAGATCAACAACAAAACCAAAGGAGAATTTTTACTATTTCTAAACTATAAAATAGTAGTGTTGTTATCAAATAATGTCTTATAAGTGTTATTAAGGTTTAATAAGGTCAAATAAGTGAAAATAAGTGTTAATAAGGTGTAATAAGTTCACATAAGTTCAGATAAGGGTTGATAAGTTCACATAAGTTCAGATAAGTAAAAATCAGGTGAATAGAACACACCCTACATTTGCTTGGGAGTAGGGTAGGGCGATTCTCTTTGAAGTGGATGATTGAAGGAGAGGGTGAGAGATCTCCAAGGCACCCCCAAATTGTCTCTGATGGTGATAACCAATTGACTACATATATGTATATATATCATAATATACTTTTCATGTGACTATTATACTATATGTTCATTAAACAACGGAAATTTTGATAATTACCACCATCTATTGTTGTCAAAAATGAAAATACCACATCAAGTTTTTTTTTTTTAATTTTTGTTTTATTCTTACCACCTATTTTTTTCCAAAAGTTTTAAAATTTCTACCACTTTGACACATGACGTTATCATAGGACCCACACTTTTGTTTTCCCTCTATTTCCCATATTCTTCTTCTCCGATCCCTTCTTTCAATTTCATCTCTCAAATTTGATTACAATTACGCAAATTTCGCAAATTAGGTTATAATTTCTACAATCTAACCTACAACGAAATGAATTGATTAGTTTAATTAGGGTTTTTGTAATCAATTTGGGGGTTTTGCTAAATTTGACTAATTAGGGTAATCAATTTGGGGGTTTTGCTAAATTCGACAAATTAGGGTTTATGAAGTTAAAATTAAATGAATAGCTGGACAATTAAACAAGTAATTAACACAAATAAACATATTAATATTCTTTCGATTCAATGTTTAATCAAGTATGAAGTACGGAGTAATAGATACAATTAAACTGTACTGCAAGAACAATAATATAATAAAGGCATGTAAATGGAATGGGGGAAGTAGATAAAATGAGCTAATTAATGGATCGAGCTAGAACACCCTTGTTAGTTGCTACGGTGTACTTTTTCATGTATAAATACCTTACTCCGATCCATTCTATTTTTATTATTAAATAATAAATAAATAATGGTTTCAAAAAATAAATAAATAATTGTTTCAATAAATAAATAAATAAATAAATAAATAAAAGCAGAACACCAAAGTTCACACCATAGTGTTGTTACAAAGCAATGAGCTAGCTTACATACATTGAATGAAGGATTTATTTGCTTCATCAACACAAAATACACATACGCTGATACACAGTAGCTAATTTTTTATTGTCCTCATTATTTAATTATCTTATCATCATACAATCACACAGATGTCATCCAAAATTGTTGAAACTGTCGATTATGAATTGACACGGATAAGACTATAAGCAATAACTAGGAGAATTTCACCTTACAACCAAGACTATAAGCACACGAACAAAGAAATAAAAGTAAAATTATAGCTAGTTATTAACGCGTGATTTTGTCATAATATATTAAGATAATTACATTAGAAAACATTATTGTTGGAACAACAAGTGTGTAGTGTGTGAATTTTGTGAAAAAACTCAAAGTCCCACATTGGTGGGAAATGAGAGTTTTACTCTCTTTATAATATAGAGAGTGGGCTAAAGGGGTGTGGCCCTTGGGCTACCCACATTTTGTGGAGAGGGAGGACCTATATGGTAAACCATCTATCACACACACGCGCGCCGAATCGGGTCGGGTCGGGTTTATTAAATAAACTTATTTTTTGGACAAGGCTAATTGCGTGATTAGTTCCTTGATTTTTGCTAAACGTTTTTGACTGATTACATTTGGCCGTTTTTTCAAAACTGATTAATGGAAGGCGTGTTGATTTCCTGTTTTTGATACACAAAAAAAATACAGAAAGCAATCTTCTTCTCCTCTCTATTTTTCCTCACAAAAACAAAACCCTCGAGCAGTTTCTTTTCTTTTTGGGTGTTTAGTTGCCCGGTGGTTTTGTGCAGTTCCACCGGTATAATTACAATAGAGAAAGGCTGTTTTATCCTGGGGAACATCCGGTTTAGTACGAACTGCTTGCACCTTTTCAGGGCAGTACCGTGAATGTTCTAAAGAAAGCGACATAGTCCGCGACTCAGTCTATTTTTCGGTAACTTTGTTCTTACTGTTTTTGTTCCCGCAGTTCCGTTTATAACAATTATGAATGCTTATATTTAATCTTAGCTAGCATATTATAATTACTAGTTGGTATACAATGTTGACTAACCTTATCTTCTCCCAAACCCAATTTCAAAGGGGAAAGAATCATGAACATTTCGACAACGCGCCGAAAACTTAAAACTACATGCAATAATAACGTAATTATGTAATTACAATGGTCATCTTTTATGGAATGTTTTAAATGTAAATTGCAAGATATCAGCCTTTACATCCGCCAATCATTGTCTTAATTTCTTAATCACGTCATGTTGCTCTCTATATATACACTAATCACTAATCAAATCACCAAATCATATTACAATTATTTCCAAATCATATCTTTAGATCACAAAAACACAAAACACAAACACCCAATTAATAATAATAATAATGGCAACTCAAAGCTCTTATTTTCCTACAATTATCTTATTTGTCTTTGCATTATTTTGCTTCATTAGCAACTCTAATGCTCGAATATTATCCGAGAAATTAACTTGGAAACGATTACTAACCGTCGATCAATCAGGCAACAAAGGCAAGTTCAAAACAATACAAGATGCAATTGATGCGGTTCCTTCTAACAATGTAGACGTTACACTTATCCTAGTTATGCCCGGTACGTACAAGGAAAAAGTTACCGTGCCCGAAGATAAGCCCTTTATTATACTTAGCGGAAGAGATGTTTCGAATACTACTATTACATGGGATGATAGTGGTGATATATACACCTCTCCTACTCTCTCCGTCTTTGCTTCTGATTTTATGGCTCGATACCTTACCATCGAGGTATGTACAAATATTTTTTGTTAGAAACATGTGTCATATATTAATAGTCACGTGTATTATTTATTATTTAGGTACAGTATATGACATTATGTTGATTATTTCTTGCAGAATACATATGGGCCGGGGGCAAAAGCAGTTGCCTTGAGGGTTTCAAGTGAAAGGGCAGAGTTCTATGCATGTAGAATAACTTCGTATCAAGATACACTTTTGGATGAGGGAGGGAGTCATTTCTATAGCAATTGCTATATCGAAGGAGGGACTGATTTTATTTGTGGCAATGCAGCTTCTTTATTCCAAGTATGTAACATTATACTATAAAATTGCGTCCATATGATATTTGAAGATAGATAATTTATCTTTATTGTTGTACCACGACTAATTTAAACTAACTTTGAATTGTTGTAGAAATGTCATATACATTCCATTTCACAAGAAGATGGGGCAATAACAGCACAACGAAGGTCAAAACCTGAAGAAGACACGGGATTTTATTTTGTGGATTGTCGAGTTACTGGCATAAAAAGTTGCACATTAGGAAGGCCATGGGGACCTTATTCTAGAGTTGTTTTCGTAAACAGTTACATGTCCAATGAGGTTAATTCTCAAGGATGGGATGATTGGGGAAAACCCTCCACACATAGGTGCGTATTATTGTTTTGTTAGTATCAACTATATATCAAGACTATATATCAACTATATGTCGATTATCAATTACACCTTATGTTATATAATATACAATACATTATACAGTATGAAAATATAGTGGTCGATTAAAATATATGAATTCATTATATTAATGTGCTTTTTTGTCGATTTAAACAGCTCGGTATACTATGGTGAAAGCAAATGTTATGGACCAGGAGCCAACAGATCGAAAAGAGTTGAGTGGTCACAAAGCCTCACAAATCAAGAAGCTGATACAATTTTGTCTAGGACCATGATTAGGGCTAAATTGAAGATCAAAGCATAATCATTCAAAGACTAATCAAATTTAAGTTGTAGAATTATTGCTACTTGATCATTTATTGTACATATGATTCTTTATTTGTTCTTTATTCTTTTTCCAGATTGTACATAGTGTAAATGATAAATCTATGTTATTGAATTGATTATTTTTAGTTAATATATCAATTAATGAAGTGCATTATTCTAAAAGGAACTCTGCAAATAAAGCTCAATTAAGTTATTTTAATTAATTAGTAGCACTTCTCTTTGTTCAAGAACAATAATTATTGTATTTAAAGGATGCATACTCATTAGTTCAAGTCCAATCTAAAGGTATATCCTTAACAGTGATTACATCTCACATATATTATATTGATAATTAATTACAAGGGTTTTTTTGGGGGGTCCAAATGAGTCGTAACTCGTAAGGGCATACAAAATTACAAATAGAGATAAGAATGTTTTCGAAATGCAACCTGTCGAGGCTGTCATATGCATACATGCCCGGCCCTTTAATTTGGATTAATTCAAGGGGCAAGTCAAAGCAAGATAAATACCATGCAAATTTTGTTACTTTATGTAAGTATTTTTCTTCTTTGTGTTTACTCAAGCTACATCTAATAAGCAAATCCACAGCACTGGGCCTTGAGTGTAATATATGTGTACTTAACAATAGAAAAAATTGTGAGTTATCACATGTCATAGCGATTGAAAAATATGAGTTATCATTCTTTCGTAGGCAGTCTAAGGGTGTATTCAATTCACCTGATTTTCACTTATCTGAACTTTTTAGACCTTATTAAAACCTATTTTAGTTGTAATTTGTACTTAGTTAACTATTATCAGAACTTATCAAACCTGAATTAAACCTATTTGAACTTAACTGAACTTATTATACCTGAAATAAATGAAAATAAGTTGAACAGAACAGACCCTAATATTATTCTAACTTAGCTCATTTTTACTTATTTACTTTTAAGTTTTAACCATGAGCCACTAAAGGTTATGGAACAGATGAGATTAAATATCAAAAATTTTCCACATCCTTAATACTCTATAAATGAAGATTGTACAAAACATTATTATATTATTTCATTTGACATAGTAGGGCTCAAAAAAAGGGACTGATTACAAGTTTTCGTCGAAGGGCGGACTCGTATGATTTGTTGTTATTTTCACTTTCTTCAGACTTAAGGTTTCATAGATAAGGCATTTTTGAGCTTGAGTGTTTTTTTTTTTTTAAATCAATTGGAAAAAATATCTCATATCTTTGACATTATCCTAAAATTTTACCAATTACTTAAATTGACATCAAACACAATAAATATCCTTAATACGTAGTATATTACTCCGTAAAATAAAAGTGGCGCAATTGCAATGTTGCAAATCACGCAGCACACCATACCAAAATTTTATAACAATATGAAAAACAACCGAGAGATGATGCACGAACCCATTGCTAATTTTCAACGGCATATATAAAAGGGTCAAAATATCACATTTGAAGAACAATGCACTGAATGTCTTAACTATTTGGCAACATTACGCTACAAATTAAACTAAGTACAAAGTATATTAATAGACCAAAATCTTGACAATTTCCATCCAAAAGACGTCAGATTATTGTTAAAGTGACCAAAAAGCCATCAAAAATCCACCAAATTCCTCTTCTTTGGCATTATCACTTAAATATTACAAGATTGAGTAATGGATTATTGTTGTTTTATCCAATTATTTATGGAATTATGAACAACAAAGTCTAGTAATTGCTTAAAACCTAATTTAGAACATCTCATTAATGTGGATGAATCAATGTTTTTTTTTCCCTTTAATATGAGATATATGTATTTCTTGCCCTTTCAAGAAGTCATACTTCCCACCAGCCCATTCCTTGCATGCATGTATATCAATGTGTAATATTACCTAATTTGACAGATTGTTTTGTTGAATGTAGCTCAAGATTCAAATTGAAGTCAACCCTTTTTTTTTATAATATCGTAAATTAAGTCAAATTGAATTACTCCCTTAATAACCTAGTTTTATAATTCTCCCTTCACATTAACATATATATACTAACATATATCATATTTTAAATTGATAAATAACGAATTGACATATTATATTATTATTCGAAATTTTACAAATTAGACAACAATTAATATAGAATAGCTTATGGATGAAGGGCGTGTTCGGCAAAATATAGCTGTGAAGGTAGCTGTGGAGGTAGCTGTTAGCTGTCAACAAGCTGTTAGCTGTGAAGATAAATAATTTAGATATGAGTGTTCGGTAAAGTAATGGTTGACTAGTTGTTACATATAAAAATCAATATTTTATTTTTAAAACTATAAATTAAATTTTCAACAGCTACTTGAAAAACTACCTCTAATTTCAAAAGCTAATGTTTCTAACTTTTCACAAAAGCTACCTCCACCACTAAAAGCTACCCTAACCACTACTTTGCCAAACACTCACATTTTTTTGTTGAGTAGTGGTTTGACATTTGTTGAGTAGTGGTTTTGACTTGGTCAAACCACTAAAAGCTGCCTAAAAGCTACTCAAAAGCTAACGCCGAACACGCCCGAAGTATATGACATTCACTAATAATTAAGCTCAAAGTTTTGTTATAATCAATATTCCATATGATGTAACAATATATTCTCTTAAAATTTCTTATAAATATATTCGAAATAACAATAGTTGCATGGCTTGCACCACATCAACAATGGAGGTGATATCATTATTGGTTGCTCCACTTCAATTAATCATACAACAATTACACTAAATGTATATATGACTACATATATCTATCGGTCCAATTCTTTTTTAAAATAAGCCATCACAAATTAAGTGAAATAAGTACACAAAAACCTCAAATATAAGTTATACTCTATAATAATAAAGGAAAAATAAAACATTTATTAAATAAAAAATAAATAAATAAATAAATAAAAGAAAAACAGTTATTGCAAAATAACCAAATAAATCTGGTATTTGATAAAACGTGGGTAACGTGTGTACTAATCACGCTGACGACTCCTCTATTATCAGCAACTGTTGCCTCCTTAAACTCATTTTCAATTTTCATCTTCATTATGTTTACCCGCCGAAAACTTGTGTTTAAATGTTCTTTTTGCCAACTTTTTCCCCTTAACAACCGCAACAAAACGGCATATCTTGTAATTTAATCTTTATAAAAACCTTATATTATAATTTTTATAACTAACAATCACCTTCTACTTATACACTACCCATCTCAATTCCTTTGTTCATCACTTCTTTCTAAGTTCAAATTTGTTACATATTCCATATAATCCATCATATAATATATAATCTTCTAGGCGTAACGTTTATTGTAACGCTTTTATTTTATTTTATTTGTACGTAGTACCATGGAAGTTCGTGGGTGTTTGTTGATTATCTTGTTTGTGATCGGGTTTTGTTTGGAAATGGCGATAACTTGTAATGCTCAAGGGAAATGGAGTAAAATTATCACCGTCGATCAATCGGGGAAGAAGGGTAGCTACGTGAAGATACAAGATGCAATAGACGCGGTCCCGTCTAACAATGTACAACATATTTTTATTAGGGTTGAGCCTGGAATTTACAAGGAGAAGATTGTTGTACCCGAAGATAAACCCTTTATAACACTAAGTGGTAGAAATGCAAATACTACGGTTATCACTTGGAATGATGGTGGAGATATATTTAAATCTCCTACTTTTAGTGTCTTTGCTAGTGATTTTACGTGTCGTTATCTCATTATTCAGGTAATTAATTATAATATGGGTTCGGATTTTGAGTTCATCTGTAGTAACTGGGATTTAGTTTATATGCGTATTTAACTATCACATTACTAGTTTGGTAATTATTATATTGATTTTGTGCAGAATACATATGGTACGACGAAGAAAGCAGTAGCATTGAGGGTAACAAGTGAAAAGGCGGTGTTTTTCGCATGTAAATTTACATCATACCAAGATACACTTCTAGATGAGAGTGGGAGACATTTCTATTACAATTGTTTCATTGAAGGAGGCACTGACTTCATCTTTGGAAATGCAGCTTCCCTTTTCAAGGTATCTATACATAATTACTCACTAAATTCACTTATTAACAAACATAAATAATAAAAATTGTATCTTGATTTTTTTTGGTAAATCCAAATTAATAAGTATATGTAAAATGTGCAGCAATGTCATTTGCATTCAATCTCACAAGAAAATGGGGCAATAACAGCCCAAAGAAGATCATCATCAGAAGAAAAAACAGGATTTTATTTTGTGGGATGCAAAATTACGGGTGTAAAAAGTTGTACATTAGGTAGACCTTGGGGTCCTTATGCTAGAGTGGTTTTCTCACAAACTTACATGTCTAATGCGGTTCTACCTCAAGGATGGGATGATTGGGGCAAACCATCTACCCACAGGTATTATTACATTTTTTTTTCTTCTAGCGGATGTCAATTTTCACGTGTTTTTTCAATGGTATGCGAGATTCTCAGACAATTTCCTTTCTCATGAGAATTTCGTGAATTTAATATCTTGAAATGGAATAATCCGTAGTGAACAAGTTTTTAAAACTAACTATATACAAGTATATGTCAATCAGTCAATTAAATTGGTTAACACTCACTATATAATCAATAGAACTTTCTAGTTTTTGGCATTAATGTGTTATTATACATAATTGTATCACTTTTTTAAAAAATCATTATTATTAGGAAATTTTAGAAAATAACACCACAAAAAACACAAATTTTGATTATAACACCACAAAATTTAAAATTTTGTTTGTAACACCACCAAAAAACCAAAAAATTTGATTTCACCACCACTTTCTAACACCATCCAAAAAACCGTTAGTGAGCCCCACAAAGTACACGTGTCAGATATATATTGGATTAAAAAAAAGAAAAATAAAAAAAAAATGAAAAACCCTAAAATCCAAACCCAACCACCGTACTCACCATCGACGTCGGTTTCTCCTGCCCACCGCCGCTACTGGTTCGCCCAGTTGACCACCCTCGACCCCCGACCACCTGAACGACGCACCTCCCTAACCCTTAAACGCCGTACCCAGCTTGGCCTCACCCCCAACTCCGATTTAATTCAAAATCTGGAAACGGGTTAGGGTTCAGGTGAGGGTGGTTTTCGACGACGATTTTGGGTAAGAGAGAGGATAATCGGCAACGATGATGGTGTGGGAGAGGATTTCGGCGACGTGGGTGGTTTTCGGGTTGTGTGGGAGTTGATTTCGTCGAAGCCGGTGGTTTTTGGGTTGGTGCGGGTGAGAATTTCGGCGACGTGGGTGTTTTTTTGTGGTGTTATTTTCTAAAATTTCCTTATTATTATGCCTAAAAAACTAATCATTATGTTAGGGGAACTCCATAAAAAGGGTCCCATTTAAAAATGTGATTACTAGTCAATGTATTGGATGTCTTTCCTTTTTCATTGGTTAATTAAAAATTATAATAAGACATAAATTATAGTGGAAAATAATTGGTTAATTTGGTTGTTGATGTAGGACGGCATTCTACGGTGAATACAAATGCTATGGACCAGGGGCTAGAAGAACAAGACGAGTTGTGTGGTCACTTAGTCTTTCTAATCATCAAGCCTCACCTTATTTGACTATGAGTTTGATGGATGGAAAAACTTGGGTTAGGGCCTAATTTTAACCTTTTTATTCAAATTTATTTAGGCAATGTAAAATTTGGAAAATTACCAACATTATTTGATAGTGGTTTTTTATTTTTAGTCACCTCTTTTTTGTATTTGTACTTGTTTCTTAGTTGTATTATTGTTGTACATTATGAATTAATGATTATATGTAGAATTATTCGATCTAGAATAAAACCTTGCTTACTTATTTACAACTACAAGTACTTATATATATACTAGGGTATCCTATGCACGCGAAAGTGTTAGCTCTTGCATATAAGTTGTATCAGTACGTAGTTACACCTTTGGTTTGGGTGGTAGATCCGGTAGTTATAATACGTACTATTTGGTTTATGTGTCTATATAGTGGTTTTGTAGAAATATAAAAAAGCCACCAAAATCTTAAATGATAATTATTTTTTAAAACCCTCAAAAGTTTGACAGTGTTATTTCAAAATTATTATTAAATAATATTTAATTGATTAACATCCCTTCATATCTTAAGCTAGTTTAGAACTCTTAATTGATTTGCATGATTCAATAATACTTAACATATTTTTCTTCAAACGAAATTTTTGTGAGCTTGGTCATACGGAGTAATAATATGTGAAATGTTCGTTATAGCTAAAAACTTAATAATGTAAGTTCAATGTTCTACGACCATCTAATATCTATATGTATATCTATATCTAATACTAAAGCAATAACCACTTAGTTATATTTTTCCTCTTAAATTCTCTTCATATTTAATACATTTTTTTTTCTATCATCGATTTCCTTCGATTTTAGGATTTTAAAGTTATTTATACCTCTTGATAACATCTGCTCAAATATCATTATTTAATATGAATGTCATTTAAATTCCACGTTGTTTATGTGCGTGCCATCAAATCTAATATATATATATATATATATATATATATAAAGTATGCATTTTTCGGAAGCATTGGACGCGTCACAATTAAAAAAATATTATTTCGACCAATCAAAAGTTAGAAATCTATTTTATTTTTGAATTAAATAAAATCAATTTTACACAAAGGAAAAAGATTGAATTTATCTTTTTTGTATTATAATTGATGAATTGGATATAAAAAAAAGTATGTTAGCAAACAAATAGGTAAAAATAAAATATTATCTTATAAATTGATGGTTAATTAAAATATTATTTTGACCAATAAAAATTAGTAATTAAGATAAATATGTTATATTATAAGTTTAATGATAAAGCTCATACTGAATTAAAATATATCACAATTTTCATTCTATTTAAATTTCTAATACCATACCATTATAAATAGATGTATCATATGAAACCAACAAACTTTCACATCAATACAACACCACGTCACGCAAACGTATTAGCAATTTTCTATCTATCAATCTTAAGTTATTAATGGTCGGGTAATTCATGGTTTAACTCATATTTAACATTCATATTTATATTTATTTTTTTGTGAGGGAAACATTCATATTTATATTGTTACTTACATCATGTTTAATTTGTAATGTTCAATGATTAATTGCTTATATTTTATTTGATATTTTTTCCTATAGGGTTAACTTAATTAGAGAATTAAATTCCAGCAAAAATGATTGGAGAATCAAAGTACGAATTTCTCGCTTATTTGACGTACTAAACTTCCAACAACAAGATAGTTTAATCAGTTTAGATATATAATTAACGAAAATGGAAAACATTCTCATGATGAATCTGATTATAATAATGAAGACAAAGATTCTGCCAATAACCCATTGAAGAAAGTGAAGGTATATATCTAATTCTTTCAAAAATTTGTTGCTAGATATTTCACTTTTTATATAAAATCCTATTGAATTTGATTACTAACATATCTAATATATATTGCAGATTTAATTTTACGGAGAAGATTTCTTATACAAAGATCAAACAGACAAACAAGCTTCATGGAGTGAAAAGATATTTAAACTTCAAATTAGTATTTATTAGATAGTCATTGAAAATTTTAGACTTATCTCAATATATTATTCATTAGGATTTTTTTTTTTTTTTTTTTTTGTATGGTTTAATATTTTAGACTTTACAATTATTAAACAAATAATTTATTCGTTTCTTCTAATGACCTTTTTGCTCTGATCGTTACATCACCCGCCACATCATACTTATGCAAACAATATAGCAGTACAATAATATTGGTACTTTATTTGTGCTATATCAAGCTAAATTTCCCTAACCTTAATCAAGGAGGTGGTATATCCGTATATGCATGATTAGCCAAGGCAAAGAGCCAATGAGCATTATTAATTTTATATTACCATCAAAGATTACCTTTCAAAGTTGTCAACAACTATTTTTATTTTGCATTATCACATTGTACACATCACCTTTTTTCTAAGAGTATAAGTGTCATTTAAAGCCAAATTTTTAGATTATGTGTGCTTATTTGTTTAAAGTTTTAAAAACAAATTTTGTAGAAAAAAACTTAATCCTACGTTGTTGACTGAATGATGAACCAACAAGCATGATCTAATATGTATTATAGAGAAACAAGGAATTATGAATGAATTATAAAGAAATAATTATTATGTGTTTTAACATTAGGAAGCCTTAACTATCATTAGAAGCATCTTTCATCATTTTTATTAGCTGCATCTTTCGTCATTTTTTAGCTCTTAAATTTCATGTGTGCTATAGTAACAACTGCCAAGTGCAAATTGTAAGATTATGACTTTTATTTCTTTATTTGTGAAGGGATTACAACTTTCACGATAAGTCAACAATGATGCATATACTTAGCACCAAAGCAGATGATGCAAATTCTTTTATGTCTATCAACTGCAATTATGTCTATCAACTATAAAGAAATAAATCAACTTTTTTTAATAATCTTATTTAATTATATTTCATTTTGAGATTTCATATTGTGATAGCATAGGAACTTACAAGTTTATTATCTGACATCGTTATTTATCTATTGTTTTAATCAATATGAAACAAAAAGTATGAAAATTTTTATCCCTCTGAAAAATTGTGTTTTCCATATTATATCTGTCCAAATAACGATTATCTTTTTACCATTAAAATAATAAACAAACAAAAACGTACTTTCACATCGATATTTATGATCAGCACTTTTCTTCCTAAAAAAGATAATGATTAGTTGCTGGTGTTATCTATCAAAACTATAATAGATTATGTTTCGGGTGAAAACAATGGGACCTTGCCGAAGGTCCGCTGAAACGGAGAAGACTGGATTCGGTCCGAGTTATGCTGGGCCGAAGGTTTCCTGCACAGTAAACACACGTAAACTAGCCTCGGGGGTGTTGCCGAGGAAGGCCCCTCCGATGCTAAAGTCAGTATAATGTGTAGAAAGAGAACACTATGCAAGAGAGTTAGTTGCTTGAGGCTTTGCTTGAATATATGAGAATATATGAGAATGTATGGGAATCTATGAATAAATGAATGTATGAATATTGATGGCTTTTATACCTCTTCATACATGGAGAGGTTGGGCCTTAGCCCAATGGGCTTGCTTTGAGGGCTGACCTTTGACTTTAGCACAATTGGAGAGTTGAACCTTGACCTTGGGCTTTTAATTGGATCATTTAATGCCTAGGCCCAATTGGACTAAATTGGACCCAAACAACTTGCCCCCCAGACCCGATTTGGAAGGATGACGGGTCGGGTTTGATTTAATTCAGAAAAGGAGGGAAGTAAATGATTTAATTAATCCAAAAATTTGAATTTAAACCGTAATTAATGAGATAACAACGGTTAAGGCGGATGATGGTGGAAGTTGGACGGATAATGGGCAGTTTAATCGCAAGGTCGTGTGTTTAACGGTTACTTAGTGGGGTATTTAAGAGAAATTGAAACGCGGACTCCCCGTATCCCATTCCTGGAGATATAAACAGAGGCGCGTCATCTCTCCTCACTTATTCACCAACACAAACCCAGAATTCTCGAGAGAAACCAAGAACCCGCATCAAAACTTCGCAAATTCCCCGAGCATTAAGCTTAGAAACTGAGACTTGCCACTACGAACTCGTAAATCGACAACTTTCGCTTCAGATTAAGGTAAATTCCTTTGATTTCAGTTTATTTTTCTTCGAATTCGAACTCCTTCCCCTTTTTTTTCGACTTTTTTCTTCGAAATAATCAATGGCAAGAGGAGTTAGAGGTAGAGCCCGTGCTCCAAGAAGAGCAAGGCCAATTCCCGATCCTAGGAACAGGATTGGGACCCGGAATGGACAAAGGCCAGAGTCTGACCCTGCTGAAGGGATTAGGGCGACTCTAATTTCCTCGGCTCCTCCTCAGAGAACGGAGGGGCCGAGCGCTTCTGGACGGGACGATGAAGTTCCCGCTGTCCTTTGGGATATCCTCCCCGGGTTTTCAGAGTGGGAGAATGCCGAAGTAGCTTCGGCCATGATAAAGAACCGCCCCTACTCATGGTGGGTGGAGAATGCCGAACAATATCGGTTTGCCGAGCAAATTGAGTTGCATTACGGCATTTTTGAAGCTGATGGGTATTGGTGCCGAATGCCCGCGGCATCCGATAGAATCCATCGTCCACCCCCGGGGTATGTGGGGTGTACACAAGACAGCTTCAGTACGGGCTGAGGTTCCCTTTGGACGTATTCGTCCGAGACTTGCTGATCCATTACAATATCTCCCTATGTCAGTTAACTCCCACCAGCATCCGAAGGGTGATGACATACTTATGGGTCTGCAAGTTCTTCAAGTATGTGCCGAACCTGCACTGCTTCAAAAAGCTTCATCGGCTAGTGCCAAATATTCAAAGTGGGCACGGAAGCCATGGTTCTGGGTGGTACCGGATTGAGTCCCGGCCCCAGTACCTAACCATGTGGCCGAACGACTCTTCAGACAAGGACTGGAGAGGTCAATGGATTTGGGTTAGGGCACCCACAGATCCGGGCCACCCTTGCGTCTTCAGCGCTCCCTGGTACCTTGCTGAGCCTGATCCCGACATGGGAAGTCTAGGTCCCCCCCCCCCCCCCCGCAGATAACGGGCCGGATCCGAACCTTGATCAACAACATATCTTCGGCAAGCTGCCGAACCGGGGGGGCAGCGGCTGAATGCAGCATATCCCGGAGACTTGGCTCCCCGATACGCATTATGTTTTCCAAGAGAACATGCTAGCAGCTGTTGGCCTCAGCCGAAAGTTTAAGGATGATAAGCTTCTTCGGCTGGGGCCGAGGCTTTTTAATTATCTCTTTTTCTTCTCTCACTTCGCTTTTTTATGCTGTGCCAACCTATCTGAACTGACCTTTCCCCTTTTCTTTTTCAGAGCGGGACGAGACCAACGTTGGCATTAACTA